TTTTCACCTTCCACTTATGGTTGGTTGGAATGCCAGACACTATTAATGTGCACATGTGCTTATTTTAAGTATAAAAAAAGTTTTGTACATAAAATGAGCACACGTGCACATTAATGCCTAAAGCAAACCTGAAAGTTCAAGGGAAGTCAGTTTCATCTACTATGGGAAAACTATGGATTGAGAACTCTAAATGTTTTATTATGTTCAAGTCTGGCATGCAGAATTGTGCCACACTATGTCAGGATCTTTGTGTGTGCATGCCTGACTATTAGCATATAATTATGAGAGGCATGCCTGATGTATTTTATCATCCCTGAACAGTTTGCATGGAGAAAGTAAAACCAATTGTGCTCCTCCTTAGCAGATTAGTTGCTAATAGGATTGTAACTTTACCACATTCTAAAGAAAAAAAATATTAGGAATGGCAGGATTAAGAATCAGTTGGATGGCAAGTCTAATAATAGTCAATGCTTCATTTTTAAACAACAAATAAAAAACAAGCATGTCAGGCATCAATGTCGTATTTTAATTTTCAGGAAATGTTGAAATTTCAAAAATAATAATTTGAATAATTATTATTTGGAGTTCACTGAATTGTGAAAATATTTCCTTTTTCCTTATAGCGGTATCCTTAAAACTGAAAGATTAGGGTATAAAACTTTTATAACAACTATGGTCTAATTTCATGATGATTGGGGTTTATAACTGGAGATGAAAATATTTCATACATCACAATCCCAGGATAACTACTATGTATACATGCAGATACACAAGCACACATACATGTGCACGCGTATCCGCACACACACACACACACACACACACACATTTATATTTCTGTTTTATGCAATATAGTTTTAGCAAACCAGTTTCCTGCTGCACGTTAGGAGATTATGTCTAGGAATTTATCCACCATCATTAGTCAATAGAATTAGCAAATTATCCTTGCCACAACTAGGCTGCTACATTATGCATAATAATGTGTTAATTTTGTTGTATCCTGAGGCAATATTGTAATCATTGATAAATCATACTTTAATTAACTATGGAGAACTTAAATAGAAAAATAGCGCTAGTTTATAAAATATCCTTTTCTTAGACATTGAGACATCATCTACTGAAATGCATTACCCTGGCTGATTTCAAGTCAGTAGAATCTAGATTTCAACAGGTAGGTTGATCTATTCTATTGCACTCAAATTCATTTTTTTTTAACTACTGGTTCTGTGGGCATGGCTTGGTGGGTGTGGCTATGTGGTTATATGACTGGGAGGGGGGGTTATAAGACAGAAACTCATTTTCTGGAACAGAGGGTTGGACTTGATGACCTCCAAGTTCCTTCCAGCCTGGATTGCTGCACTGTTTCAAAGCATCCTCTGAAGCTGCATCTAGTGCCAAGGTTTGTGGTCATTCCTTCCTCTCCTTTTTCCCTCCCTCCCCCCCCCTTTCTTTCCTTCTTTCCTTTTCTTTTTTCTTTCTCTTTCTTTCTCCCCTCCCACCCTTTCCCCCCCTCTCCCACCTTCCTTCTCTTTCTTTTTTTCTTTCGCAGCATCCCCCTGCACCTCGTTTTTGGCCTAGTGGCCTCAGGGAAGCCTCCTGGGTGCTGAAAAAAGAAGCATTTTGAAGCGAGGGGGGATCAGCTGTACCGCACAATTTAGATTAGCTAGAAAGCAAGAAATCTGATCTCCTGCTTTCTAGTTTATCTAAATTGCACAGCACAGCTGATCGTCGCACAGCTGATCATTTGAAATACCGGTTTGGCTGAACTGGTAGCATTTTATACTACCAGTTCGGATGAACTGGGCCAAACCAGTAGAATACCACCTCTGGCATAAATGCTTACAACTTGCAACATTGCAAAGGGACGTTTTATTTCAACAAGGCTTTGAAGCAAAACAATCTTTTAAAGTTGATTCACAAAATGACACGAGACTGCCCATCTGCTTCTAAAAAGCAGAGCAAAAAAGAAGCATGCTGCTTCTCTTTTGTTTCTGAAACTTCTTCTGCACTTGGCCGTTCCTTAATGGCCCCAGGTCATGGTGACTATTATATCATCACATCATGGTCTCAATTAAACCACATCCTTACAAGGGAGCAAACAGCGAAGACTCTATAGTGTAAAATGCCTGGTAAGTAGGGCTGCCTTGAATGGGCCTAGCATGGAGAGAGAAGGTGTTCCATCTAAAAAGGGAATGGTAAATGTGTAACTCCATGCCCTGTCATGAAGCAGCAGCAAGAGATTTTCAAGGCCTGTCTTTGAGGCCTTGGAAGAACTTTGAGTGTCAAATTGCACTCAAACGATATAGAAATGGGGCTAGAAAAATGACTGAAGTTTCATTATTATATAGAGAAGATTACTATTCTGTTCTGAATTTGTCAACTTCCTCTTCTTGTCACATCAAAAATGTGATATTTGAAAGATCTCTGAGGGCGTTCCAAATCCTTCATGCAACACCTGCTGTTATAGCCTTCCCTGATACACTTTAAACAGACCTTTAGCAGAATGCATACAAGTCTTTGTCATCTACACCAAGAGCAAGCCAATTAATATCTAAGAAAAAAACACAGAAATATTTTATAAAAAAAAATCTCTTGACAAGAGTGAACCAATAAGCACTACCACTCCTTGTTTTGGAGATTCTGCTTTTTCTTTTTTGCAGGGGCGGTGGGGTCATTCTCAACAAGTCCTGGGAAACAATTGTCCTGAATGGATATTTCTAGAGCCATGATGGTGAACACAGGTGACACGCAGAGCCATTTGTGCGGGCATGCAAGCCCCAGTCAAACTTACCTGCTCTATGCATGTGTGTGCCTCCCAGCTGATTTTCAGCCTGTTTGAGGCAGTTTTCATCCTCCTGCGGGCTTGAGGGAAACCTCTGCAGCCTTTGGAGGCCAAAAGACAGGCCCAGTATTTCCAGAAGACCCGTTTTCTGGCCTCCCGAGGCTGCAGATGCTTCTCTCGAGCCTCTGGGGAGGCAAAAAAGGCCTCAAACGGGCCAAAAATCAGCCGGGAGGTGCACGCATACACAGTGCAGGTAAGGGGGTGGGGTGAGGGTTGTGCATGCATGTGCAAGGGCACATTGCATTGTGGGTGGCAGCAGCGTGCGCAATATCACATACGCACACGCTTTCAACACACCCCAACAAAAAGGTTTGCCATCGATGTTCTAGAGACATATCAGCAGCTGCTAGTAATGCACATTTATAGTTTTCTCCCATTTACAATCCCATCTGTGTCTATAGTCACTTGTGTACGACTGTGAACAAATGCCTTGATGAGAGTTTATTCAAATTTTGCTATGATACCCCAAGGGGAAAATCAGAAAGCAAGTTTTGTTCGAGCAGATTGAGCCTGTTTTGGATACACAACTGTGGTTCTGACATTAGTTGCAAATGAAAACTGCAGGGAACTAAAATTTTTATAAGCAAATCCAGTTCTTAAAAAAACAGTATACACATGTGCCCTGTCTGTGTAGTCTGAAATTTGAATAACTGAATGTTGGATCTTTTATTGTCTTCAATTAGATGAAATATAATTTAACAAGAGTTCTACAAACATCATGGGCATTTCAGAAGCAACAAATGAACATGCTTCATTATTAATTGTATTGAAGTACATAATGTTTTTTGAGGAGTACATATATATTGTTTTTAAAGACTCACTGATAAAACAACCTGGTGAATAAGGTCAGAGAAAGTGAATGTGAAAAATGTACAGTATATGAGTTTTCAAATCCTATTTTACAAATATGTAGGAATGATACCCTTGAAAAAGACAATTTCTACAGAGGCAGAACAATTTACAAAAAAGTGCTGTGTGGCATAAGCAAAACCACAAGACAGCATGAAAGACCAAAGAACATACACTGTATGCTTGACCAAATCACACATTGCCTTGAAACGTTGAAAGTGTTGACAAAAATATGTTATAAATGCCTATTTTGAAAAGAAGTTTCAACAAAAGATTCAGTCAAGCAACTCTAGAGAGAGGAGAGGAAAAATGTGCAGTATAGTATAAAGCAATACACATTATGATAAAAGTAGCAGATAAAAAGGCAGTGCAAAAAGTTTCAACTAAACAGACATTCTAGGCTGGAGATACAGTTATTGGAAATCCTCAAATGAAATCTTGACTTTAGAAAGTTTGCATATTTTTATTTAAATGAAAACTTACAGAGAAAGTGATGCTTAGAGAAAAACATAGAGTTCCAAAATAAGACAAATGACTGAAATGTTTTAACTGATGCTCTCATTTAAGTTACCAACCCTAAATTATGGATCTCAGTTTCTCCTGGAGGTGGAGTTTCCAAGGCAGTCTTGATTCAAACTAGTTTAATTTTTCATTTTCCATCAAATTAAATTTGGCTTACTTGTAAGCAAACAGGAACTGTATTAACTATTAGATACATCCTTGGTCCTCAAGAAAAGATAAAGACAATGGGAAATATATATCTAGATTTATTACTGCATCGCTAACACCAGTGGTGGGATTCAAATATTTTTACTACCAATTTTGTGGGCATGGCTTGGTGGGCATGGCATGGCTTGGTGGGCGTGACAGGGGAAGGATACTGTAAAATCCCCATTCCCTCCCCATCTCCCTAACCTGTTTTCCAGCTCCGTTCTCCTGTGCAGGGCAACAAAAGAAGACCCAGCCGATCAGCTGGGACTCGGGAGGCAGAGAATAGATGGGGGAGGGGCCAGTCAGAGGTGGTGTTTGGTGGTTCTCCGAACTACTCAAAATTTCTGCTACTGGTTCTCCAGAACTGGTGAGAACCTGCTGAATACCCCATCTGACTAATACCTAACTCACTACCCTCCCATAACTTGGTTACCCACAAATATTGTTAGACAGAAATATGTATGGGAAGATTCATTCATCAAGACATTTTTATCTGAGAAAGAGAGAAATGTTTGTGGATAACATGATGTTTATAGCAATCTGTCAGAGAACAATGATCAAAAAGTCTTTGGGGAGGTTGTCTCCCTTCCCTACTTACACATTTAGTGGTTGCCAGGCAGGCCATTGTGCTTTTGCTTTGATGACTGTCAAAACCTCATCACTCTGTAAAAGAGAAGCAATGCACATCAATAAAGAAAATTATGTTTGAACAGTATTATGGTGAATAAAATTCTGCAGTGATTTATAACCAGCCAAAAAGGCACTTGATTTCAAATGTCTCCACATAATTTCCATGAAAAGAGATACAGCTCTTGCCTTTTCCTTTTGAGGAAGTGAAGTTATACAGTACCCAGAATCACCTTTGGGAAAATGGGGGTCCATATAAATTATATCAATCAATAAGTCAACCAATCAATCAATCACTTTTTCTGTTTGTCCTGACAGCAAGCAATAATTCTGACATAAGGTTTCTTAGTTGTCAGGTCGTGTTTTGAATTAATCTTGCGATGTGCACGTCCACATAGGGAGGTTACATTGGAACTGACTTCCTATGATAATTTCCCCAAGGATTATTTCTCAGTGAGGAGAATATGAATCTCCTACTGAGAAAATGTTTACCGTGACAATGAAACACATAGCAACGCAACTGCAATCTGTAAACATATTTTGTGAACTGTCTTTTACGCGAAAGCAGTGAAACTTTTGGTGTCGACAGACTGTACACTCTGCTCTGAAGGTAGCAATTTTTTCAAGTATCAGGCATTCTTGCATAATGTTGCATTTTGGCACAGGGGTTGTTTTTTTCAACTAAAAGTGGAAAAATATGGACATCTCATATCTGACAGCTCCTCTCCCTAACACATTACCACAATACTGATCTGCTCTCCCCAAATCTCTTGAGAGCAGCTGAACTTGGTTATTTTAAGTTAAATATGTTAACATAAATTGTATTTAATTTGCAGGATTGGCCGGAAAAAAAAAAAAAAACAGCTACCAGTATCATAGGACTTTGGAGCCCATTTGTGTCAGATTGCTGGCTGCAAATTAACCCACAACTTTCAAAAGTTAACCAAGAAAAAACACAAAATATAATCTATGCAGGATATGAAGGAAACAGTACATGATAAATAGAGAAGTTTCCTAGAATATTGTGATATCCACACCCCCCTAACATTGTTTTCCCTTACAAAATATTATATTCACGGTGCCTGTCAGCCTTCAAGATTTTCTCCCTTTGCTTTGCATCTTTCGGCTGTCATAAGTAACGGGGGGAGGAGGGGGGAATGGTTGTGGGAAGTGAGCTGGAGGTGTTACAAACCAGAACTGTATAAACTGGGGTGGGGGGTACATTCTTGCTTAGGTTTCTATCCTATGCTATGTGCAGCTGCAACCCTTTATCAAACTATGTCAAGGTCAACGGACAGAGCCTCATCACCACCTGGAGATGCCCACATGATGATCTACACAACTTTTAATTGGATGAGCCAATTGAAGTATTGGGGGTGGGAACGTTGCCATTACTTTGTATATGTGATTTACACACCCATTTTCTCAGATTCAGAATTCTTTTGTTGCTACCACTTGATTTCCAGTAAAAGATATCTTTTCTCTGATTAAAGGAGTCTAAGTATTTCTTTCTTGGATTTTGAATGGAGCACCAGCTGACAGTGCCTCTATAAAGTTCTCCATAGTTTTTATTTACATAGTAATATATTTTATCTTTTTTACTCTTCTAGAGATGGGGAATAAACAAATATAGCTTGAAGTTTTTTACCGATACATATTTTCAGCTAAGACACCAAACCAAAGCCCAGTCATGTTTCCAAACCTATATATGCCCAAATTTTACAATTCAGTCCACAAAAATGCATGCATTAGGATATATACATACATTCATGCTGATGAAAAACATTACAAAGAAAAATGTATTAAGAAAGATTACCTCTAAAAATGTATATGTCGGGGAAAAATGTATCCCAAAATGAACATAAGGAGAAAAATTCATTTCAAAATCTACAAGTCTTTGCTTATATTAAAAATTAACTCAACAATTCACAAACTGAGGCATAATTGGTTGAAATCATATTGGCATTGATAAGAAGGGAAACTGGGTACGTATAATCTCCAGGTTACAATCATTCCATTAGCGAACATTCGAAGTTACACGATCAGCTCCCCCTAAGTATTTATGAACAAGTCCTAAAACTATGAATCTTGCAGCACCACGGCAGTTGTTCGCCCTTACGAATAACCGCAGAGGCCCTGCAATATTCGACCTGCACTTTGCAGGCCAAAATGGAGGTTCAGAGGGACTGGCCCACCACTCTCTCCATTTAGGATGCTCCATTTAGGCCATTTAGGCCTCTGCAGTCCTTGCCTGGCCGTTTGCTGGTCAAAACAGAGTTCCATTTAGGCCTCTGCAGGCCTCACTGGGCAGGCCGAAATGGAGGTTCAGAAGGGTACACATGGCTGAGAGGCTGGAAAAGAGACAGCTTGCTAGATTTTCACAAGTGACCCAGTGTGTCAGTTTGTGGGTGGGGGGGAGCAATTGAGAAGAACATGAGGTATTTGAATGGGTTGGGGAGGCCGTGGGTGATCTTAAGCTGGTGGCCTGTTCCATCACTAGACCCCCATGGCTTCCCTACCCTGAACAACCTCATGAACACTTAATGAGCCGCACATTTGATTAGCAAATTTGTGTGTAAAAGGAGGGAGTGATCACATTCAAGGTACAAGATTCTGAACCATGAGTCCTCGGGTTATGAATGGAAAGGGCAGGCTCCATTACATTCATAACTTGAGGACTACCTGTATTTGAAATGATTAAGTTAATCTATTTACCAAATTCATTTTTTTCTAAATGATTTGGATTTCCATTTAAAGAGGCAACTGAGAAGCATTCTAGGAAAGACACAATAGTTAGAGAGAAAACCGCCTTTTTAAGTAGTAAGTGCCTGAACTATTTGTTCACTGATTCAACATAAAAGCAACTTCATAAAAACAGTGAGGGAGGGGGAGTGTCATTTGGCACAGATTAGTTTGAAATGTTCTTTATGTAGACAGTGTGATATAAATTTATTTACTGAATTAGGGCCAGCACAGGACTTCTTTAAGTACCAGTGTAGAAACAAGGACAATGTTCTGTTGCTTCTTGCCTAACACACAGATCTGAACACATAAGAACATTTAGAGATTAAATGCTGTGTTAAATCTATTGGGCACCCATGAGAAAAAGATAAAAAAAATTTTTTTCTGGTGGATAAGCTCCAATGGATTCCATACCCACCATTGGTATGTTAGCACATACCAAATTATAACCACAACATTGTTATAGTATGCAGAGACCAGTTTCTTCTGTATCTCTGTATAGAGGATGTGTCAGGGACACTATGTAATTATGAGAGGGCTGTTCTTTTGTTTATTTTATTATTTTATTCTATTTAAGAAAATTTATAGGGCCACCCAATCCACTTACAATGAATCCAGGTGGCTTACAAAGATGAAAAGTATGTATGTATGTATGTATGTATGTATGTATGTACGTACGTATGTATGCATGTATGAAATTTGTTTTCTTTTTGTGTTGTACAGGTCACCTTCAGGAAATGAAGGGAGCTAAATGTCATCTGAAAAGATGCTCCTTTGGTCTTTTTAGCTGCCAGAAAAAGGGAGTGGGGGAAAGCAAAGCATTTTTGAAATGCTTGATAATCACCATGGTAGCCCAAAGTTGTCTGAGCATAAGAAGGTTATTGGAGAGCATGATGGATAACTCTTGGAGATGGATGTGTCCCATTGGAGAAGTCACATCCAGGGGATGGGGGGAAGATCAGGGTCAAGGGAGAAATGTATGATGTAATTTAGTATCGGCTGCACCCAGCCACACGCCAACCTCTAATAAATCAATTTTCTTTTCTCTGAGATGTGGCTAGAGACTTTTGATTGAAATGAGGGATGATTTGTTGGAGCTCTGACGTGTGTGTGTGTGTGTGTGTGTGTGTGTGTATAAATAAATATATATATAATCTCCTGGGTTGTAATGACCTGGGTCATGGGCTGTGTGATGACCTTCTGAGTTCTAGTCCCAGGATGCCACAACAATAGAACTCAGAAGGTCATCACACAGCCCATGAGCCAGGTCATTACGACCCAGGAGATTACAGCACAAGACCAAGTATGTCAAAACAATAGAACTCAGAAGGTCATCACACAGCCCATTACCCAGGTCGTTACAACATAGGAGGCTGATAGACACACAGCCAATACCTCAGCTACACATGTTCTTACGAAAAAGCCAGCCAATCTGCAAACATCAACTCCATCAACCAATCAAGAAATGACAACATAGCCAACCTCCCCACCAATATATATTGGGAGACAGCAGCTCCGATCACGCTTTGCTCGCACAAGCACGAAGCCAAAAGCACCAACCTGAAGATGGCGGGTGGGACCTCATCGAAATGTTGCCAAGATGCTCTCAATCTTACTCAGGAAAAGACCCAAACACGCCAAGACCACCATGAAAATCTATGAATATATATGTGTGTGTGTGTGTGTAGGTAATATATAAAAGCACAAACCCCTCCCCCCATATCCATATGAGAAAGAAAAGCAAAAACTCTAGAAAGCTTCCTTGTAAGGATTTATGGAAACAATTGAATATGTGCCAATGCTATTACTAGTATTTTTGCCAGTAGAACTAAGAGCAATATGAAAGATTCTGGCTATTTACAAGAAACCATTGTTAAGAAAGCATAATAAATAACAGACATATAGCTGTTTCTCTTAACTGTAAAAATAGAGAGCAATTTTATATCTGCTCCTTTCCAGATCCTTGTATCAGCAGTTCTGAAGTTATATATAATGTAATGAAGCTCAAACAAAGCCACCAGACCATTTTTTTACCAAAATTCCAATGAACCGAAACTTATATCAATTTTTTTTACAGTTTTTTTCCTCTTCCCCAAGGATTCTTTCTGAGTAAATTGTTGAGGAGGATATGTTGTACACAACCTACTCCCAAGATTTTTGCCACTTTAAAACAAAACAAAACAAAACCTTTCTCTGATTAGATGAATACCCAGACCATTCATTACATGTAACTGGCAGCTACAACTGAGCTGCTCTTTCAAGTGAGGCATATTCTTGACTGCAATGATTCTAAT